GGGCGGGGCAGGCAGCAGCGGCAGGTGGCATGTCAGGAGCAGGTCCCCGCCCACCCTGCCTCAGCCCAGGACAGGCGTGCTGACCCGGAACCAGGTGTGGGCCCAACTCCAGGGTCGCCAGCCCAGACAGCAGGGCAGCGACAATGAGAAGCTGCGAACCTGCACGGGGGGCACCGCGCAGCCTGAGGCAGCGTCGCCACCTGCCCGCCTGCATGCCAGGGAGACCGTCCCTAACCTTCCTGCTATTTCAAAGTTGGGTTTTTTAAGCTAAAAAGCTAATCAATAGGCCCAGCCACGGGAGTGCCTGCTAGACGCTGCCGTTTGGCTGGCTGAGGCCACGTGGGGGCCTCGGTTCCAACCCTAGTCCAGGCTAAAAGGCTGAGTGCAGCTCGTATGGAGGCTGAGGCAGGAGGACAGTGAGACCTGTCTAAAAGACACCACAGGGACAGCACAGGGACCAGTACTGGTTCCATCACTGGACTCCCACATGGCTGACCACGGTTCGAGTCCCGGACCTGGAAGCTTGAAACTCACGCCAGGCACGTGTGCGTGCGTGCCCAAAATCTGGAGAGCAGAAGGGAGGAGAAGGGATTGTGGCATGGCCATCCCCCCAGGGGGTGATTTCTCGCTTTCTGTCTCTGTCTCTGTCTGTCTCTCTGGTGAGCATGTGTGCCGTATAGTAAAAATCTCTCTTAAAAAAACTTAGTAAAAACACAATGTAGTCCACAAAAAATTTTTAAAATTTTAAATAATGAAATAAAAGTTAGAAGACACGCAGGGAACGGGCAGGTGTCCCTGGGCTGGGGTGTCTTCATGGGGCCCTTCTGGCTTTGACTGGGAGAGGCGGTAAGGAAGGAGGCCGCTCAGCCCTGGCTCAGACATGGCTGTGGCTGTGGTCAGGGCCCTCAGAGAGAGCTGGGAGTGCTTCTCCTCTGCCCAGGAGCCAGCTGACCCTCCCTGCTGGCTTTGGCGGGATGCCAGGATCTCGGTAGTCATGTGATCGCCTCCCTGGATGTGCCTATGAGGCTGTAGCCTCTGAAATTAGAGTTTTCCCCACTCCCCCACCCAGGGCCTGGCTGCTGCCCCGGGACACTGGCAAGCCAGCTGCCTCCGGCTCCTCCCCCAGTCCCTAGCAGTCACGGGGCTACGAGAGGACAACACGGCTGGGACCCCACAGGCCTCCTGATTCCGGGATGTGAATAATTAACCCTCTTCCAAGTGTTCCGACCAAATCAGACATTGACGGGAGGTGTAAGCAGGCTCGTGCTCAGAGGGCCTGGGTGGGAGGCAGCGGGGAACGCCGGGTGGGGGACATGGCCAGGGCACAGGGGAGGACGCCTGCGGGACGTGGGGGCTGTAGCCTCCGCTGGACCAGGGACAGGCCGCTGGGGCGAGCAGGGAGAAGAGACCGACTGAGCCACGCATGCAGGGGTTGGCGGGATCCGGCCCCGGCAGGCCCGCCCCGGCCCCGGGGAGGGCAGAGGACTCCGCACTCCACTCAGCTCTGCCAGAGGGAGGGCTGCGGTCAGTGGGCGGAAGCTCCCCTCCCTCAGCGGGCCCCCACGAGAGCAGAGCCAGGCTGGTCTGGAGAGGAGAGGGGTGCCTGCAGTGTGTGGGGTCCAGGCTGGGGAGCCCGGAAGCCCTCCTGACAGGTGCTGCCTCCTCCTCACTCCCGAGGAGTGGGGGTGAAAGCCCGGTCTTCTCCAGGCCCCAGGGACAAACTAGGCCTGCTTCAGAAACAGCGCCCACTCCCATGCCACCCCAGCCCCACCCCAGGGCTGTGGGTCCGCAGGAGACAAGGCCTGGCCTGGGCCACACGGGGCTCCCTGCCCTCCTCCCTGCCCAGCCACCCCCGCATCCCACACTCGGCCTCCCTCCATCTCGGGCGCTGGGACGGAATCCCGCCAGGGGCCATCCTGCCTGTTCACACAGGTCGCTAAGAGGAGAGGAGGGGCCATTCCCGAGTGGCTGCGGCCCTGTGGGGACCTCCTCAGCCCCTGGCAGGCGAGTTCACGCTGTGGTCAGCCACCGCTGCTGCGATTAACTGTGCTCCTAACCACGAGCAGCAGCACTTGGGAACCCCACACTGCCACCCCATGCAGAGGGATGGCCACTCCAGTCTGAGCTGGGACGCTCCCCGAGTGGAGGGCGAGAGACCGTCTCAGAGGAAGGGAGGCCACGGCAGGAGCTGCAGGGGCTGTGTGGTCATGGGAGCAGTGGCCAGGGACTCAAGGATGCCAAGGGGCCACCGCAGCCCTGGCCTTGGTGGGAGGCATCGCAGTTCTGAGCTGAGGTATCGGAGTGCTGCCCGGGACAGGACAGAGTGGGGAGCAAGGACACCCTCGGGGTCTGTGCATACGCACGCTCACACACACGTACACACACTCATGCACGTGCACGCACACACACTCAACACACACATGCACACACACACGGGTTTCCATGGCACTACAGAGCTGCACACGGGTCACCCAGCAGCTGGCACGGCATGAGGCCAGTGCCCAGGGCCAGCACCATGCCAGGCCCAAGGTGGGCTTCAGGTCTTCCCCAGCCACGGCATAATCGTCAGTGAAAGGGCCTTCCTACCCAGCTCCCCCTGGGGCAGGAGCCAGTGGGAGGGCATGGCTAAGTCTGTTCCCAGGAGAGACCCAGAGACTCTCAGGGGTGGAGGAGGCACCGAGGGGGCCACCCTGGAGGTGGGGGACAACTGGGACCAGGAGCGGCAGGGAGCCCCTGCGGCTTCTCACTGGCTAGAAAGCAAATTTCCCACAGCCTCGCTCCTGTGCGTGGACACGTGTGTGCACTTGAGTGTGCATGGGTGCATGTGCATGCACCCATGGCGTGCGTGCTGACGCCTCCACCCCGAGGTAACGGACTCAGCTTCTCCTGCCGCATCATCAGTTTAGAGCTTCACTCCGTGTGTGGGGATGTCACGTGATGCATGTGTGTGCGTGCACATGGTGTGAGCAGGGAGACCTTTGCTCTTGAGACCTTGGCCGCGGCCTCTCCTCTGTGGCCAGAGTGGGGCTCTGAGCAGGCCCAGGCAGGCTCTGACCAGCTGAGCGGCCCCCTCACCTCCCTCAGGAGTGCCCCCCGACCTCTGCAGATCTCCCGAGGGGCTCCCGGGGGTGGGGACCGCCCGCCACGATGCCACCTGGCCTTGTTTCTCTGGGAGCCAGGCGCGTGCAGCTCCCAGAGGAATGGCCTTGCCTCTCGAGGTCACACCAGCTGCCCGGCCCCGTTGCAGGTGGGCCAAGCGGGGCCAGGTCATCAAGGAGGCGTCCGGAGACGTGTACCGGACCACAGTGGACTACACGTACTTCTCCGAGCCTGTGTCCTGCGAGGTGACCAATGCCCTGGGCAGCACAACCCTCAGCCGCACGGTCGACGTCTACTGTGAGTGCTGGGCTTGGGGCCCCGGGTCGGCAGGCGTAGCGGTCTCTCCGGGGCTGGAGTTGTGGCACATGTGACAGTCCCGCTGCACGGCAGAGTGCCGTGCACATCCCGAAGCGTCCTTGCGGGGTGGCCGTGTCCGTTCCGACCCGCAGCACCCCAGCTAGCAAGGTCCTAGCACCACCGCCATCAGGTGGCCGCTGACAGCCATGCAGCTGATGGCGGGGGTCGGTGGGGCCGCCCGGGGGGGGCCCCTCCCG